TCAAATGCAATCCTTATCAGTTACAGCAGTCTCAATATGATTTTCCTTGAAGAAAAGCAGAAATCTTCACTGATTAGTAACCTAATATCTAAACTTTTCATATCTGCAACTAGAAAATATATTCTCCAAGACTTGTAATTAATCCAAAAAAATGAATCAATCTGGTTCTGCCTGATTTGCAATCCAAAAAAGTTCAATTAGAATAATTTGATCACATATACAGCCAAGGTTGCAAAAGATCTCAAATTAAAATTTGTCCAAATGATTGTTCAATATATCTTAATATTATAGAAAACTCTATTGGTCTTTTATTCAAAAACCTGCAATCTCTTAACAAAACTACAGTAATTAATACAGCAAATGCCCTAAATATCAAATTTACCAATCAACTTTTAAAATCCAACACACAGAAAAGCTCTCATGGCTTCCACTCATATTGTATACAGGAATAGTATATTGTGAACCTGAATCCAAATAGTTCAAAAATTTTAAAAATCCAAACAATCTTTATGGAATCCATGGTTCAGTACCAAATCCAGTTCATTATTCTAGTACTTGTACAATTCCAATTGTATTATTAAAATATACAAAAGAAGTCGAAACATAAATAAGAAAGCAAACTTCAAAGGAAGACACTATTTTATTGGTTCAAATAGCATTTTATCCAGATGCAATGATTATTCAATAAGATCATACTTAGCCAGTTTTTGTATATTGTCATCTATGAGTCCTATAGCATCTTCATTGTAGGTAGTCCCAAATTCTAATAGCACAAATCAACATTAATTATGCAATATAATTAGCAAACTGTCTATCATACCACAGCAAGGAAAACATTTTTTAATTTATTAATAACTTTTTCATCTCTCTTCCTATATTAGCACTTTAAAGAATTGACTTTTGTTAACAATACCATTTTCAACTCCATCAGAACAAGACCTTTGTGAACAATACAAAAATTATATCAATCAATCCAGGACATTCATTAAAAGATTTCCTTCATATAATAATAGACATCTTATACTAGTGCCTATCAAACTGTATTATAGAAATAAGAAGCAATAAGAAAATTTTCCAAAAAGTTTGAAAATTTGTTAACATATTTAAGAGGACAGTTATGGATACTTAATTGATGAAGAGAATCATATATCCATATCCATAGACCAGAATATTGGTTTATTTATCTGCTTTTAGCAAAAGTATTTATTTATAATGGACTTAAAATTCTTATAAACTTAAAAAATATATTTACTAGTAGACTCTTATAAAATTTCAAACCTTGAAAAAAAAGTTAAAAAAAGCATTTTTCAATAGGTTTTTTCTTTTTAATAAAATGTTTTTGCTATGAACTAAATAGATGAGTTTTTGGATATTTTTTCATTAAAATATTTAAAAAGTTTTGAAGAAAAAAATATAAAAAAGTAAAAAAGACTTTTGTCTTCAAAAATATATAATGTTAAAGAAAATATTTAGACTTTATTATTGAAAAACAAAAATTTTTTTTAAGAATGTCTGTTTTTTGGATTGACAAAAGAATTAGCAAGAAGAATTTTTATAAGTTAGCATTTAACTTATTATATTAATATATAAAAGATATTGTTTCTTTTATAGTATATATCTTATTATATACAAATCAAATAAAAAGAACTTTTTCTATTAATCCTCTTGTCAATTCAAAAAATCCGATGTTTCAGAGAAATTTTATATTTTTCCATAACAAAATCTATATATACTCTCTAATAACATTATTATCCAAAGACTATTGTCTTTTCTTGTTTTCTTTCTTCTCTGATATAAATCTTTTGTATCTTTGCAAATAAATACAAAAAAAATCCATCTATAAAGTCAAAAGCAAGAACATTTTGTTAAGAAAAAGAACCTGTTAAAAAATACCATCCTTCTTTTCTTCAGAAATTCAAGACTCTAGAAAAGATTATCACTAACTTTTGAAACTCTTCTATCATTTTTCTCAAGTTCATCTTCTATCTTCTCGAGTATATATACTTTTTTTCTAGTTTTTCTGAGGAATTTTGCCTATCTCAATTTGATCCTGAACTTTTGGTTATATCAGAATTTCTAAATAATTATTGGCTCAAAATTTGGATTGGTTAATTTACATGTAGTAAGAAATATAAACAAGATATGTAAATCCCACGTGTTTCATTTTGTGCGACTTATATCTGATGATATAATTGATGACACTAGAAAGAGCAAGGCAATGAGGTGTACTTTTTGATTAAAGAAGTAGTTTGATACTTTTTTTCTCTTTTTTTGGACTGGTTTCATTTCTCTTCAAGATTAAAGGAAGGTCTTATTCCAATTTAATAATAAGTTGGCTCTATTGTTAATTATTCTGAAAATAGTTAAAGAAAGAAATTTTGAAACTATTTTTCAGTTGAATAAAGCTATAAATTCTTGAAAAATCAACTAGAAGAGAAATTGACAATTAATACCAATCCTCTTTAAAGGTTAGAAGTTTTCAAGTATAAAGTTTCGAGAAATACTTTTTTGAAAGTGCCCTTAAATATTTTTGATTAATAATAGAATAGTGAAAATTAAATGATTAGCCAATTGTAAGTAGTCGAATTGGATAGTAATTAAGAAAAGTTTTTGTTTTATCAGTGTAAATCTTTCCTTTCTCTTTTTTCTTTCTATTTTTATTTTTTTAAAAAATAATTTTTTTTTATCTTTTAGGATTACAAGTTTGCGTCAAAGTGACAATCTGAATTAGGCTGGCAGTGATCTTTTAAGACATAGACTTCTAATGTCTTGTTTTGAAAAGAAGCAATATCATTATTTCCTATAATCATATCTAAAAAGTTCAAAACTCATTGACAAATATTCTGCAAAATTGTGTTAGTTTAGCTTTAGTATAATATAATAGGGAGAAATGGAATATAACATTTGTTACATAACTGATCGATGTAATAATGATAAGTCAGCTGTGATAATTAGGTAATAAAGGAAGAATGGAAAGAATTGTAAAAAGAATTATGTAATTTGGCTTTAGTTATATTGCTGTATTATCAATTATTATTATTTCTAAGCCACTATAGTCAAATGTAAAGTATAAATAACATATAAAGTATAAATAATATGTAAAGTATAAATAACATGTAAAGTATAGAAAAGTAAAGAAGACACAAAAAGATAGAAGTAAGAAAATAAATAAAAACTTGATCAAATACAAATACGTTTAAAATTACCCTTTTATTTATTTACTCTGTAATGATTACATGAATCTTTACTAGAGTTAGCAACTGACTCATCATTATACTATTACAATAGTACCATGTTTATTGTATTACTGTTCTTTTAAAATAAGATTAATAAATGCTTTTATTTGTAGTCTAATTAGAGGCAAAAATATACAGTATATATATAAATCAAATAAAAAAATTGATGTGTGCTCATAGAAAAAAATAAAAATAATTTTTTTTTTACTTATAACTAATTTTATAAATTATATTATTATTATTATTTAAATATGTTATATTTTAATTTTATAACTTTATTTTCATAAATTCAAGTTTTTATAGCATATATACAGTTAATTTTATATATATACTGTATTGTATTTTCATAATAAATAATATAAAATAAAAAACTCTCTTCTAATTGTGTTTGTTTTGTTAAAATTTTTTCTTTTATAGTAATTTTAAGCAAGAAAAAATGGTTTACACTTTTTATCGCAAGTGAGCCCTAGCTCAAAAACTCAAGAACTTTCAAGACAACCGGTGCAGTGAGATGGAACCTCTGATCGAAGTTTACTCAAGTTTGGGAGTCTTGTTTATTCTTCAGTTGCATAAGGAAAGGCTTGTAGCAATTCTCTTTTCTTTTGTTTTCTTGTATTCCTTTTTCTTTTTATTATGTCATAAAAACTATCCACATCAATATCATTATACTCACTAAACCAAATACATTCCAAAAAACACACTCAAACAATATTGTTGGGTCTATTATTTGTTTTAACACAACCTTCATATACAATCTTACTATGATGCTATTTATTGCGCCATTTCAAAATTTCCAAAAAAATTTTTTCAAAAAACTGAAATCAGTTTATCCTTTTCAAATAATTGTCACTCTTTAATCATCTAATCAGATTTCATTAAAACAATAAAAAAAAAACTGAACCTATTTAAACTGGTTTTTTAACATCACTATAATAACAACAACTACCACCACAACAAACAATGTCAACTATACTCTATTATCCATATCAACAAGAGTTATGTCTCTAAGACCAATGCCAGTACAAGGGCTGAACTATTGGCCACCTTTTAGATATTTTTTTTATTTACATAGATTTTATAGTTTAGGCAACTTAGTTTTAATTTCAGTAATTATAGTTGTTATTTTTTTTTTATTTATCTCATATTCAAAAAATCAAAAGATTTTAAAAATTTTGTCAAGTAGATAGGCATAGCCACTACTCTGCTATCTGACATTTTAATATTGCTTTTGAAATTTTTTACAATATTAGTTAGATAGTGATCAAGTAGGCAAGCTAGCATTTAACTTGTTGTATACAATATGCACCCAAGAGATGTTGTTTCTTTCTCAATGTATATATATTCAGTATACAATAACAAATAAAGAAATAATATTTACCTGCTGGAGAAACCCCTCCAAAAAATAAATAATATAAAATAATATATTTTTTGAAAAATGACTTTAAAAAAACAATATTTAAATAATATTATTAATTAATATTAAAATACTTAATTGAAATTGTTTATTAATATTTAAGATTTAAATTTAATTATTTATATATTAAGATTAGTATTTATTAATATATAATGCAATTTTTAATTTTTTCCAAAAATTTTGTAGTATTACAATTCCGGGTAAAAAATTAGGGATCACGTGACAGTGATGAAACTCTACCGTGACTGCTCAATCTCAATCTCACTTTTTTTATATTAGTATTGTAAAGAAATGGCATCATATATTGACTGATCGCATTATATTTTTTCTCCGCCTACTATATAATAAACATGGCAACTTTATATAGGAATGATACCGATACGGATTCTATTGTTGCATGGAGAAGCATGACCCTGGAGACTGCCACCCCCTCTTCTACTTCTATTTCTAGTATCGAGGAGACTGATGAAATAAAAAAATATCGTTATTTTTGGTGGAAAACTGGCAACATACACCCGAAGGCCAGGTGGGAGAAAGCTACGTAAGTCTCTTTCCTATTTACTTTGAAGAATGGATATTTTTATAAACCAGTGTCTGATATCAACTGATATTTATTTTCAAGCTTACCATATGTGCTAGAGACTGATGTCACCTTAGATGAATATATTAAACGAACAGATATGCATAATGTGCACGCTCTATGGGAATGGGAAAATGGAACTGTTCGGGTTATTGAGCTTCCTTCGTCATTTCACGAGGAATGCATTGGTACAGTTATGGCCAAGTTGAGTGTAATATTTGATGTCGTGTCGACCACTCCTGTAGGCATTAAATTTACTGGAGCGACGAGTGAGTGTTTTATTAGTTTTCTTCATGCTATTGTATTATAGGTATATTTACATTACTCACTGTCTTTGAATAAAAGCAACAAAAACACGTGGAGGAGGCAGGGAGCCAGATGGGTCTCTTCGACCTGTAGGAAAACCTCAAATGTCTGGAGGTGGATCTGATGGAAGGGTATGAAGAGTTTTTAACCCTGTTCATTTGATTATGGCGTAATCGTGTTAAATTTCTAATGTTTTTAAGAACATATCGAATATAATTTTAGAATAAACCCTGGCCCAATCTTGTAATAGAGATTGCTTGCTCTGAAACCGAGGCCCATCTTAAGGATAAAATAGAGAATTACTGGCTCCTTCCTAATAGAGTCCACGATGCAATTGCTATTAAGCTAAACTACACATCAGATGATACAGTTCCAACGGAGATGACAGTAAGTAATGACAACAGGCATTAATTTCTGCGCAGTTGTCTTGGTACCATCTGAATTATTTTTATTCTTTAATAGGCTTGGCATTATTGTATAAATAATCGAACAGCTATCGGAGCATTAAACCCTGTAATGGTATGTTATATTATTACATGCTTTTTTTAGTACAGAATGAGTTTAATGTATTTTCTATTTAGTTTGAATTTGGAACGATTGACCGTCAAGGAAATCCAATCAATATTCTACCTGGGCAATGTGTTATTAATATTCAGCTGGGATGCATTTACCATGGAATGCCAAACAGCTTCGCAATTCCCACGCCTCCTCTACCTGACCCTATCACCCTTGATCTCTTCCCTGTTCGGTGGGCTATTTTAAATCCCTAAATAATGTGTACGACTTCTCATATATCAGAATTTAATCTAGTCTTATTTCAATATAACTGCATAATTTACATTTAATAAAATTTTCACCGATTTTACCTTTTACAACAATGAGTTCACAGTGCATAAAATACACAGATTCGCTGATAATATAGTGTAGATACTCTTATGGAATGAGGATACGAAGCGTTTATATTATTATCTTATAGCCATATCTATATTTCATCACGGGCTGTATCAAAATAATGGGTTTTCGTGTAAATATATCATGTCTTAAATAAATATTCCCAAATGTAATTCTCGATCACGGCCCATTACGGCCTACACCATGGTTGATTTTGTATACATAATCGCGTTTGCTTTTACATATGTATTTCGGGATTTTTTTGTGTTGTATGGACATCGATAATATAATCAAGAATTTTCTATTTCTGATTTTCCGGAAATTTTTTAGTATAAAGTTTTTTTACATAGCATATATACATGTATATTAAACGAACTTTTGAACATATTCACATCTTGTATAAAAATGGAAAATACAGAATCTAAAATCGATTCGTTAAAAGAATTAAATTCTCAAATCATTGCCATGATTGCAGAGCCTAGAAGGGAGAATGCTGAGGTCAAGGCCAAGAATACAAAATTAAAACAAGCTATAGAAGCAAATGCTGAGCTCAAAACCAAATTCGAGGAGCTAGAAAAGAAAAATAAAACAGACACCAGCAATCTCATTTCTGAAAATGCAGAGCTCAGAGACAGAGTCACGAAATTGGAACAGAAGCAGACAAAAAGTGATAACACACATGTATTAGAAGATTCTATTCTCCACGAAGCAACATCTAATATTTCTTCCAATATTCATCATACTCGTCCGAGCTTAAATCGTCAGAAAATAAAGAAATCGATAAATTTTGGATCTGAAAAATAAGAAAAGAGTTAGTAGCGAGATAAAGCAACGCAATAGGGAGAAGAGGCTTTAATGTGAATCAGCTGAAAACCGATCCCAGAATTTACTTTCAGGCACTTCTATATCTTCTGAGCAAAATCATGTAAGCGGAAAAGAAAAATGTCAAGAAATTTCCGTCACGAAACGGGACAATCGGCAAAAAACGTTTCGAATTCTAATAAAGAAATCAAAGAACATTTATCACAGGAAAAACCAATGAGCGAATGTCCAAATAATAACATTTATATGTCTGAGAAGCCTTATGAAATCGAACCCACTAAAAGTCAGTGTATAGAGCGAGCATTAACAAAACAATTGCGAAGTGATAGAGATATTCTCTCTCCAGCTTCCTCTGAGATTACAGAGCATTAATCATCCCAAGTCATAACACAAAGCTTGATCTGTTTATTCCAAAATGCAATATGAAGAATTTTATCTTGGTACTATTATTCTGATAGTTTTGAAAATAAAGTTATTGAAATTTTCCGTGAGACAGGAATTATGGACAATCCACTAGAACACAATTATGTAAGAAAATGTTGAATAATATATATGAAATTACACCAGGAAAATTGCATATGAAAATTCTAAGAGTCAAAAAAATTCACATATATATTACTAATTATATTTAATTATATTATTTAGTAAAGATAAATTTAATAAATTTAATTATTATAACCCCAAAAATCATAAAAGTCATGATTATTTGATTTGGTTACTGAAAACTCATAAAGTCAATAATATTATAGAAGGTAAAAAAATAATCAAGACATAACAATAGTCATACAACTGATATTTAATCAAAATATTGTGAATATAAAGTTGTAATAATAATTAATTAATAATAAACAATAAGAAAGTATAATATAATTTGCAATTACTTGTTCTATTAATTTTAATCTTTTTCTTTTACTCTATGAAAGTTTCTGTTCAGTAGAACTCTAAAAAAGCACTAAATTAATATCAAATTAATAACGAAAAGGTATTAATCTATAATAAATTTAATATATAGGTTGTGATTTACTCATATTAATTTATAGTAAATTAAGTATTGTTACTGCTTTGAAAGAGCAAAATAAGAACACAACATTTTTCTTAAAAATTTCCTTTTATAGTAATTTTTCTCCAAAATTAAAGAAACAAATATTTTTTTCGCCT